TATAGCCAAGTTCCGACAAATCCTTTTACTCCGAGGATTGTTTCAGGGAGTGTGGAGAGTAGGGGAGGGGGTGTGAAGTAGGCTCATGTGTCCTCGTTTGTCAGAATGCGAACAACTGACAGTTCCAACGGGTCTAATAGTTTCGGCTCATCTAGCACATCGACAGCTGTGGTGATTATGAATTTAGAAGACTGAATGTAACAACAAGCTGTGGAATATTAGTAAAGTAAAACTACTTAAGACTAAGATAACGTTCTTTCAGTCTGGAAACACCAGATAGGATGCCAATCGCTGCCAACATACTTAATGTAACTAATTGGGAAACCATTTGCTACTGTCTACACTGCACAAAATGTGAATGCCCATGAGACTGATCTGACACAGTCCATAGATGAATCACCCCCGGGAGACACTATGTAGGGACCATAAGTAGCCACAACACTGGTTCAGGAAGAAGACCACAGACGGCTCCAGGACCGGGAACATGTCGTCCATGAGGCCTCCCTCCTCCAGGTACAGTCTTGAATCAAAGCCACCGCTGTGCCTGCAAGTAACGGCCAGTAGTGTGTGGTAAAATAGGACGGTCTGTAGCTAGTAAGATGATCACATAACTTCAAGAGATAGACGAGTATCTCGCTGCTGTCGTCCCTCCGACGCCTTTTTGCAGTAGGATCTCCAATCCTGCTGAGCCATCATGGTACCAGCGGATCGACTGACTGGCAATGGCGGCCAGGCACGGCGTACGAGAGATCGGCCACAGTTAGTAGCTAATCGTGCACAACCCCTGCCGCCATCGGAACACGTTGCCGCATAGCGCGTAACCAAATAGACTGTCGTTTCCGTCTCGTTTTAATACAACTTTGCAAATCCTGTAAAGAATGTGTGACATTTTTGGTCAGCAATACGGCAGGAAATAGAAGTTCATTGTGAGAGACAAAACGATGAATGGGTTTGGTACTAGGGGCTAAGTAGTCTCAAAACAATTCGGTAACTTCATCTGAGTCTGTGGAAAATGAAAAGTCAAGTTAAGAGCAGGTAACAGATAAATCAGTTGGGGAACATAATGTATCGGCCTGTCTGTGTCTTAATCCCCCACGTCCGTCCGGAGCTCAGAATCTGAGTGTACGAATAGATCCCTCTTCGTCGGGATTACATTGTCGCCGAGTTGCTTCATCGGTAGAATCATGGCAAGTCACGGTTGAAGAGCTTATCCTGAGCCCATTTTTTACCATTATACAATACATCATATCTTCCCTTAGTGTACAATACAGAGTAAAGGTCCTATTAACCCCCCTTCAGTCTCTGCCCCTACCTTAGAGTCATGCTTATCATCAAACAAACACACAACCACACCAACAAGCATCACACAGCTCCTCATGTCGTCTAATGATGGTCTGGACTATCTCAGGCTCAATACAACTGACAGTGAGCTCCGTCACGCATAATTGTATACACAAGTATACATGCAACCTTCACAGCCAATTGGAAGTTTTGAAGAATATTTTGTGGCAATGATTTCAGTTCGTTTCCAGGTATTATTATCATAAAAGACTCTGTAATCTTTTGTCAAAGATTAGCTACAACAAATTATATGGTATACCCATAAACTTCGGAGGAGACATGGCATGAAAGAGACTTAACCATGTGCTTCGCTGTATCCATGTTCAGAACAGTCGTGCTCTGGGTACAGTACAAGTCATACACATAGCCTGAAACCTACAATATCAGAGGTGAATTCTAGAGCTGCATTAATTCTATGCTGCACGCACCAATTTGTAGTGCTCCGTTTTCTCCTCTGAGCATTACTGAACCCTTTTGCATGTTAACGGCTCCAGTCGCCCCCCTGCAACCTTCAGACTATATATCAGATGAGAGGACAATATAGTTGGAAATCCCAAGGCCAGTAGGTGGACAAACAATAGGTGGCACATATGTTTTTGTTGAAACAGGTATAATATTAGGTAGAAGGATTACTGTATGAACATACAGTCTGAAAGAAGCCCGTGACTCTTGCCGTTTAGCCACATACCAATCCTCAGACAGCGGAAACTCGTCTTGATGGACATCACAGATGGATGTATCTCCACCCACCAGTAGGTCCCTGGCCGCGGAGCATCAGCAGGCTGTAGCCTGTAGCCACTCTCTCCTCCATCAACTGACTGGAGACAACTGTACCTCCGCCACTAGAGCCACCAACAAGCCCCTTGGAGACACCTCACAGCAACTGAGCGTGACTTTGTAAACGCTGATGCAGAAGACCTTTGCCTGAAGAGAAGAGATTCAAAAAGTTTCCAACCCAAATTCTGAAACCAGCATGTGTCCAACACGAGGTAAAAGCACAAGCAAAACAGGCAAAACACATCAACTGCACTCATGACAACACTTTGCATGCAAACTTGCGTAAATATTGGCAAGTACCAAAGGAGAAATGTTTCATATGTGTATACCAGTGGGCATATACGTCAGTCCTGTAAGTACATAATCAGTATATAGGTGCTTATGGCTAAGCGGAAAACCTTTGTCCGTATCTCTGTCTGGGCTTTTTGGTGTCCTCGAGAGTGATCATCCTGGCTAAAGGGTTTGACTTGACACAGTCTGAGCGAGCTCATGTAGATGTTTGAGTCCTATCCTATGTGTGTCGAGAACGATCTGTAGGTGAAATTAGGACGCTATGGAGCCCGTACCCGTATCACCCCATCACTGGCTTCTTCTCTAGAGAGTCCCACGAAATGGAACACACTAGTACCAAGTGCAATTTATTGGTGTGTTTCGCTACAACATGTGAAGAAGCTTGAAAAAAGTCGAGCATAGACCGTCCATGATAAGAAATACACACCTATAGCCTCAGCGGGGGTCCTCCTCCCTCCCTCTTTCTCTTCACTCGACGCCCTTACAAAACAGACACAGCCAGAGGTTGCATTGCTAACAACTCGGGTATAGAAGAGACATCCGGTAAAAGGACGGCAAAGGTCAAGTCCGTTCCAATTAAACGAAACCCTCCCTCCATTTTTTTTGAAAATTGTTTTCCACGAAGTGTTGCTTTTGGCTTAAGGGAGATATCTTTGGCTCCTCCAGCGCCGAGTGGACACGTCTCTGACTAGCGAGTCGGAGGGGATGGAGGGGTGAATGGCGGCATGAGCTGGGGAGCTTGCGCATCCCTCCATCACCACCCCGCGTGGGCGGCGCTGCTCAAAACATAGAGTCCATGAAATACGCTGACCTGGAGATGTTGGGCTGTAGCGGCGGCCGAGTGGCGTCAGAGGAGTCGTAGACGAGAGAGACGGGGGATAAGGCCCACGAAGCGGAGAAAGAGAGCGATACATCGTAGGGGCGGCAGGCTGACTCGAGAACCCAAGAGGAATCAAGTGAGAACGCGTCTGACATAAAGCACTCCCATCCACTGACAAACCAACAGCAAGAGAACGTGAACATGTTTAGTTATGTACATGGTACCTCACATCTCATACCAGAGCATATTGTACGGAATTGCAACTGAGAAGTTAGCCAACACGTATTATGTGTATGCATGAGCTGAACTTCATTTTGGCCAGTCTACTATGGATGGAAGGGGTGATTCTAGCAGAGATTTACATACCCCCCACTCAGCTCTTCTAGTGCAGTGTTTTTGTCTACACATGTCTACAACTGTAGTCGCAGGCTGTGCTTACGTCTGTAGCAGACCACAAGCTACACCTTATTGACGATCTTGATGCATTTGTGTAGAACACCGTTTCTGACAAGTGACTGACTAGCCTTCACGAGACTCTGATCTGGTCTGATGCTCACTCGCTATAGAGCAGACTGAAGAGAGCTGCCATCCAGGTATATACACGCTCAGTAGCGTTTTCATTCCCTGACTTTAATATTTTCTTCATGTGTGCCCTGCACTCAGAAGCGAAGAGTATGTATCGCCGGATCGCCGAAACTAAACATTTTACCCCTGACGAAAACATACGGTATCCAGTCCAGTGTGTTGCCCGCAGTTTCTATCCCACGGCTGATTTGAATAGGGCAGCGGGTTTATGACAATCACGAATACGATAACCCTTTACAGCGGGCGAAGATAAAAATTTTACTGCAATCCCAGCATTTGACACTAATAATCATTGTATAACATCCCATCGATGCTAGTTCATCATCAGGTTACAACTAACAGTTAACAATTCCACATTCGTGTGTGATGTATAATGCATGCGTGTGTGCAGGGAGCGGAGGTAAGAAGCTGGCCAGTCTGGACCAGATTGTGGCCGACGCGAAGCAGCAGAAAGAGCGGCAGCAGCACACAGCAGCTGTGGCAGACCTCACCCCCGAAATCACCCTCCCCTATCACCAACCTAACCACCTCCTCCACCACTACCACCCAGTTCACAACGCCACACACAATACTCGTAGCAGTTCAGCAGTGGTGGTTGGTGACCACAGTCCCGAGACCTACTACTAGTGCAGCTCCTCTGTTTGATTTTGGTGATGAGAGTGACCTGGACTCTCCCACAGGGTGGGTGGTCGCAAATACAATGTTCTAGTAAAAGAAGCCAATTTCACTTATCGTTTTCACTACTCAACTTTCAACTTCGTTCCCTTGTAAATTGTTTTCAGTAAGTAGCAATGCAAGTAATATATGTGCTTCAGGTAAAGTAGAAGAAACTACATGATCGTACAACGTTCTGATGTTGTACGATCATTCCCTCATTTAGAGATGAACCAGCTTTCTTATACTAGCACCCTTACCTGATATTACTTTTCTTCCCTAAAGGGGTGACAATATGAAGATGTCAGTCCTATCACAGATCAATCGTGTTGGTAAGTCAGTGGTAGGCTTGGGTACATTATTCCGTTTTTTATGCCTATTATGCTATTCTCATGTGCTCACAGGTTTCACCTATTATTCTTTACATAAATACCACACTATTAACCTATTGTGCTCTATACTCTATAAAAACACCTTAAAACACATTTATACAATCAAGAATTTCTGTTATATTGTAGCATGACTGTTTCTATATTATAGTCTTCCAATGAGTGTGACTGTCTCTCTGAGAAGCTATTGTTTAGCAGTGAAAAAACCATTTCAGCCACAGCTGACGATGGCTGACAAAGAAAAATACGTGGAGTTCGAAGTTCACGCATTAGAAGACGGATGGATTTGGCTACGCATGAGTGTTTTCCCTCCCAACGCGCAGACGAGATTAGTCAGACTACCTATTATGCTGGCATAATTCCTTAGTGCTTGGGTCTCCCCTATTATGCTCAGAATTATGCCAGCATAATGTACCCAGGCCTATATAGTCAGTGGTATCTAGTAATAATTGTGAATAAATGCTACTATCTCTTTTTGACAGAAAAGCTTTTGGATGATGAAGGATTGACATAGCAGAGATTTTTTTAAATGCCAATTATTAATGATTTTCAATTCTCTTTCAAAATCCCCTGTGCCCTCTTATTATGCCACAGCTCATACCAATGTATTTTTATCGTCATTATCTGCTTGTATAGACATATATTATACCTGTGTAAAATGAACATATATGTACATATAATTATTTTTATATCATGTGCACCCTTATGTTTATTACCGGTTGGCTACATAATACTAACATGTGGATATGACACAGCATTCGACACACTAAGAGTAAAATGATTAGGCAAAAATCAGTGTCGCACTGTAACTGTGGTTTATAGTCCATACTGTGCAGGTGGTAGGTTGAGTATATATTCATGATACACGTATACAGCTAGCACGTCATTTGGACATTATATACAGATTTACAGATCATTGCACTGAAATAATGAATGCCGACAGAAAGAAGTGACGGGGATTATTTATAGAGGAAGGGAGTCCAGTTTCCCTGGATGCTGGGGTTATCTGTATGCCATGGCTTGGCCAGTTTGACTGTCTTTATTCCTGAGCTGGTTCTCAGGAGACTGATGTGGCCAGCAACTTCCTCCACACTCATGTTCTTTACTGACACCACGCGACTGTTCCCACTCACTAGTGTTGGGTAAGAGAGAGGGGGGGAGGAAGGAAGTTAGAGGAAGAGTAAAAAAAAACATGACATACAGAACTCTGCAACAATCCTCGGGTGTCTTCCAGGTCTCTGTCTCACATACACCGTCAGATGAGGGTTTTCCTTGGCAAACTGGGCCACAGTCTCTGACAGGAACTCCCTATGAAAGAGATTGTTCACGATGGTCCCTTGGTGCACTGTTCATTGCTTTTCATATATATACCTTATCCCTCTGCTGCTGCCTCCATTCTTGCAATACTGTAGTGTGAGTCTCTTCAACTGACATATATACCGAACGCAACCATTGTTCATGGGAGCCAAATGTGCCATCTCTTCCTCTCCTAACCTTTCAACTTCACCCCAGTAATGACGTAATTGCTGACTCACCCAGTTTCCAAATAAAGCCTCCCAGGGTGACTTTGCAGCTCTCAGAGCTCATGTATAATTATACCTGCACGTTTTGTAGAGTCAGTAGTTTCCTACTTGTCATAGCCGCGCGCGGGAGCAGCCATGACAGAGAAACGGGTCAAGATCATCAAGCATAACAACGTCTCGGTCAAGTTCGAGGTGGACTCCCGCTACTCGCCGCTGGAGAGCATCGGGACGGGGGCTTATGGAGTCGTGTGTGCGGCCAAGGACAACAGGTCGGGCCAGAGGGTTGCCATCAAGAAGATACCCAAGATATTCGACGTCCCCGCCGTGGCCAAGCGTACCTACAGGGAGCTCAAGATCCTCCGCCACTTGCGGCACGACAACATCATTTCCATTCTGGACGTGTTGAAACCGGACGAGGAGGAAAACTTTGAGGACGTGTACGTGGTTCTGGACCTCATGGAGAGCGACCTCCACCACATCATACACTCGGTACAGCCCCTGAGTAACGAGCACATCAAGTACTTCCTCTACCAGATCCTGTGTGGACTCAAGTACATCCACTCGGCCAACGTCCTCCACCGTGACCTGAAACCGAGTAACCTCCTGATAAATCAGGACTGCGAGCTCAAGATCGGCGACTTTGGCATGGCCCGTGGCCTCAGCTCGTCCCCAGAAGACCACTCCACGTTCATGACAGAGTATGTGGCCACTCGCTGGTACCGGGCGCCCGAGCTCATGCTCTCTTTCTCCGAGTACAGCTTCTCCATCGACATGTGGTCTGTCGGGTGTATCTTTGCAGAGATGCTCGCCCGACGACATCTCTTCCCGGGCAAAAACTATCTCAACCAGCTCCAGTTGATCCTGAGTGTTGTCGGGACACCCAGCGATGAGTACATCCAGAACATTGGGACCGATCGCGTCAAGACTTACCTGCAAAATCTCCCGGCTAGAAGACCAGTGGATCTGACAGTTCTATTCCCCGAGGCAAACAAGACTGCACTCGAGCTCCTAAAACTGATGCTCGTCTTGGACCCCAAAGAGAGAGTGTCTGCCAGCGATGCCCTCAGCCATCCTTACCTCACTCGATACCACGACCCGAAAGAGGAACCGGTGTGCTCTCCTCCGTTTGATTTCGAGTTCGAGAAGAACCTCGTGAACAAGGAGGACCTCCGGAAGGCCATCTTTGAAGAGATAGACACCTACCACAAGGCCAAGCTGCCCATTCCCTCCCACGACACCGTGAAGGATGCCCTCATCAAGATGATGAAGGACAGGGACGAGGAGAAAGTGGCTGCGGCTGCTGCCACCACTGATGATACTCAGAGCGGTGATGATGACAGGGGCTCTACCCAGGATGGTACCAAAGAGAAAGAGGGAAAGCCAGATAAAGAAGGTATATACAGTATTCATGTTCCAGTAGTATAGTTTGCAGTATCTGAATTCAGGAGTTGCTTTCACTTTGTTCTTGGTGTGTATATATATACACAGGTCCCAACAAATCGAAGAAGGAGGACAAGAAAAAGAAGCGTCCCAATTCTCACGCCGCCAGCTCGGAAAAGAAGAAAAAGATAAAGATTGAGTCGACAGAGGTCTCACAGCCTCAACCCGCGAGCATGAACGAGAAAGACAAGGAAGCGCTGAAATGCTGGAAGGAGTTCAAGAAGGCGAGTCACGTGGGAAGAAATGGGAGCGAGGAAGACATGGACAAAATAATGATGATCCAGCAGCAGCATCTGATGAGGCGGCAGATTGAGGAGCAGTCCCTGGTGATTGCCAATCAGCAGAAGATCATCCAGGAGCAGCTCCAGTACATTGGAGTCCTCAAGGAACAGAAACAAGCCCTCCTCCGAGAGTGCCAACAGGCAGGGCTTAGCACTTCCGACATACCTTCACTTCAGACACCTTCTAAAGTCATCTCCCATCACTTTTCTCTCCCTCCCTCGCACATGACCTACCCCCTTCCTTCCCAACTTGCCACCCACCCTCTCTCTCAGCCCCAACCCACTAGTCCTTCCCAGGCCATCTCATCTGCTGCTATGAGCAACCCACTACCTCGCCCTCCCTCCTACCCTTCCCACCCTCCTCCCCCTCTCCTTCCTCCCCCTCACCGGGCCCACCTACCTCACATCAGAGTCGCACCGGGCGTGCTGTCCCCACACCAGCCACATCCTCTCCCTCCCTGCAACTTCCCAGGGCTCCCGGCCACCTCCCAACTCACCACCTCAGTCACCCAGCCCTCGTCCCTGCATCCCCTCCCACCAATCTATGATGCCTGTGCCGGCAGAACTCCCTCCCTCCTCGAGAGCATATCCTTTTCTCCGCTCACTTCTAGTGAATTTCGTGAGATGGACCACAAGGACCAGCCGCCCGGCTACTCTGCACTGCTAATGAGATCGTACGACGAAGAGTTGAACAGTATCCTGGACATTGCGGGTCTCCCGACAGGCAGAGGGGCAGGCTACGGGGTTGGAGTGGCAGACGATGAGCTTCCTGCACTGGACCTCAGGTTGGTGCCCACCAACATGGGGACTGATGGGTGTTTGGTCTGTGTGTGGTGTCTGGGAGGACATTTTGGTATTACTGTTGATGGATTCTTGGCTTCAAACAAGTGGTAGCTAGTGACGTGTGGGGAATCTGGGCATTGATTACAGAATCAACTGAATGTTTTTGGGTCTGTCTGGGGGTGTATATAGCATAATGCCGTTCGTCCCGGGGGAAATGCTAAATGTAGAAGCTGTTGCTGAAAACGGAAACTTACTTATTCTTGCACTGGGCCATCTTTTAGTTCTAAAGATTTTGCCTTTATGTACTGCCACATTATCTTTAAGGACACAAGTACATTAATCTCTCCCTCTCTTTCTCATAGTAACCTGGGGACCAGTGCTCTAGCTGGGCCCGCCTCGGCCTCTCTGCTCCAGGAGTGGCTGGATATCAACCAGTTGGACCCAGACGACATGGATGTTCTCCAGAAAGAGCTGGAGGCTGGAGCACCGGACTCATTTATAGGAACACTCAATGATTTATAGTCCTAGAAAGTTTTTTTATCACTCAGTACTTTTTCTACGTCATTCTGATTTCTGTTTTCTGTATAAATCTGTATAAACTATATGCTGTTTTCTTTTCTGTGTAGCAAGCTTAAATATTAGCACTTGGCGCATGTGCAGCAGGTTACAGTACTTGGTCTGTGTGTCTGCTCCGGCACTACAGGCTACGAAGCGGCCCATTAGTTATAGTTACCAACAGCTTTGGTGAAGTTTTCAACTACAAAACATTGTTGAAAGATAATATACACACACACACACACACACAAAATTATCTCATGCGTGACACTCATGTGATGCAAGGTATAATTCTGTCAAAAGGTCCCCTTGCCATATACTGTGATGGTCAAACTTTCACATCTTCGTAGATATGCACACTTCCCATTCGCCTTCTCCCAGTTGGCTCATGTACGTAATCTCCATTACGAAGCATAAAGTCAGGCAAAGCTTTCATATTATCACGTTCTAAGAAGATCCCTTGGCCATAAATAGGATTAACCGCCAAGTCATACTGCTCTTTAGCCTCCTTTGACGACCTGAAGCGAAGAAGAACTAGCTACTTGGGTAAACTCTGTGAGCCGATATGGTTACCTTTGCTTTCTGACGGCCAAGAATGCAATTAGGAGTCCTGAAACTCCGACAGCTATACCAATGGCACCCACTGTAGCTCCAATGATATTCACCACATTAGTGCATGCCTCATGACGACCGTGATCTTTGACCTCATCTGTTTTATTGTCTTGTAGCTTTTGAGCTGCAGTTAGGACAACATCAGTTGTACTGTAGCTACACCATAAGGCTCAGGAGAAAACACATTATCAATATTATGTACTGGGA